CGCGGGCGCGGGGTGCCGGGCGCCGGCTCCTCCGGGGGCAGTGGCCGCTCGCAGGCGGCCTCCGGGACGGTCCCTTCTGAGCGACCCTCCTCAGCCCCGCGCTCGAGTTCCGCAAAAGTTCGCTCCGGGCCGCGGGGCCGCTCGTCCCCGGGCTCCGGGCCGGGAAACTTCCCGCCGCTGCTCTCCGCTGTCAGCCGCGCCCGGGCCGCGGGTTCTCCAGGCACTCCCCGAAACCCCGGGCCGGCAGCCACAGGCGCTTGCTCCGGGCAGGTGCCGAGGAAGTGGGAGGAAAGGAAGACTTGCAGCTCAGACCTCTCTGCTGCCCGGCCAACTGAGTCAGTCTGTCCGTCTGTTCCCCTGAGCGCGCGTCCTCCACTCTCGCCGCGCCACCTCAATCACACTCCGTGCAACTCTGAGCCCTAATCCAGCCCGAGCTCAACACTTATCTGCTACCAGTCAACCCCTAAAAATAGCCCATGATGTCACCCCAAGGCCTTTCCATTGGCTCGCGTCGCTCTCAGGAGGGCGGGCCCGCCCGTCGCCATGGAGACCCCACCCTAGAAGATTCTTCTCCTGGCGCGCGGAGGCTCACGGGATGAGGTAATGCTCTGCCGCACTCCTACAGTTGGGCCGTCCCACCCCCCCGCAAGCCTCTAGGTCCGCTCCCGGCCCCTCCTCTCCCGCGCGTCCAGCCGGCCCGCCCGGTGCATTGTGGGCTGACGTCTTGGGGTTTGACGTCCAGTGACGGGCGCCCGCTCGCAAGGGGCGGGCCCAAGGTCTGGCCCGGCCGGGCTGCGGGAAGCGGGCGGTGGGCCGCCGGGCGGGTCGGGTGTGTGGGGGTGCGGGCTCCCCCGAGGGGGCGAGAGGCTAGGCGGGGGGGCCGGCACTTCCAGGCGCGCTGCTAAGTGCGCGCGGGGACGGGTCGGCTTTCGGCCGGGGTCGGCCCGGCCCGCGCCGAAGTTTGTCTGGGGCGAGTTGGCTGTGCGCGGTCTGGCTCGGCCCCACCCCACTTCGCCCGGGGCCGTGGGGAGCGGGGCCGCGGCTGGACGCGGAGACCCGGGCCGCGGCGTGCCCAGCTTCTTCCGCCCCAGCCTTCCGGGAGCGCTCCTCCGCTCCGCGGTCCCGCGAGCCTCCCTTCCCTTCCCCTCCCGCCGAGGTGGGCCCGGGCAGCCTCTAGGAAGCGCTGCGCGCTGTAAGTGGCTTCCTCTCCCGCGGTCCCAGGTCCCTCCCCCATCCCGCGGGGACGAGCGTGGGCGCCGAGAACGCCGAAGCGGGGAACCATGCCCTTCTCCTGCTTGGGCCACCCGGTGTCAAGTGTGCAAAGCCCAGGACTTCTCCCAGCCTCGTGTGCCGGGTCTGCGAGGGGCGCTGGTGACATCTACCTGGGGCTTCCGGGAGTTAGTGTGGGGATGTAGTCATTGAGCAGTCCCCTGCCCGGCCCTTCCTCAGTTTCCCTGAGCTTTTGATGGAAGGCCGGGATGTGATAGCGTGATTCGGCAGGACCGGGTGTACTTTCCCGCTAGGAGCTGGAGGGCAGGAGGTCAACAACCAGAGGGTTAGAAGTCAGCTCTGTCCCGAGCCTTCTGCCTGGGACTGGGGTTGAGTTTGCACCTGCGGCAGTTTAAACCCTTGGGTTCTAATCCGGACGTTCCTAAAAGTGGGATTTGGGCCATGGATTTATAGCCTGGGGGCTTTAAGTTGTTTGTGGCTTTGAGAGTTCAGAAACCAATGGCGGCTGGTATCAGTGGGAAATCGGCCAGCTTCTCTTGACTCCGGGCACTCACCTGGCTGCTTTTACCGCCCGGCAGAGGATAACAGGCTACTGCCAGCGGGGCACTGAGCCGGGGTTGGGGAGAGGGAGGGCCGCGGCGATGATAAGATCCAGTTACTTTCCCAAGGAGGCAGCGTCCCCTTCTACCTGTTGCCTGAATAGTATTCTAAACTATACTTACAGATAACAGTAACAAAAGTAAGTTTCATGCATTAAACACCAATCATCTGCCAAGTATTCTCCTAAGCAGTTTATGTATACTGTTCTCCCTACGTGCATCTTGAGAGGCTTATATTACTGTCCTGGCCTAGCATAGGAGGAAATAGGTCCAGAAAGTTTCAGTGTCTTTCTCCGGTAACAGAGACAGCTGGAAATTGAATCTCAGATCTCTATTATATTTCCTTGTATTTTCTCTATTTTGGCCAACTTCCTTTAAAGTATTAGTTATCTGCAGATGTGGTACCTGTAGCATAGAAGAACTATTTTTGCCTGAACGTCTTTGTAACTTTTTTTTTTTTTTTTAAAGAAGCCTAAAGACTTAGGGTTTGGTGTAAATGTGTATCTTGCCTGTGTTCTTCTGTGCCTTATGCAGCTTAGGAGGCTGATTTTCTCCTTACGTCGAGAAATAACATATTTCATCCAAAACAACAAATCTGTTCATGTTAGTACCCCAACTTGGAAGCCTTCACTGGCTTCCTCAGAGGGGTAGGAGAGAGTTCTGCCTCCTTTGCTGGATGGAAGGGGCCTTTCCTGATCTCGCTTCTGCTCTCCAGCCTCGTCTGTCACTTCTAGCTCTCAAGAAAGGCTGGGTTACCCTGCTGTAAGAAGCCACCCCAACATCGCAAAGGCTTTAACCCCGTGAAAGTTTATTTCTTGCTCCTGCTGTATGCTCAAATTGGGCTGTGGGGGCGCTCTGGTCACTGTAAGCCAGTGATGGCAAACCTTTTAGGGCTTTCAATGATAACAAACAGCCCCCTGTGGCATGCAAGCCGTAGTTTCGCCACCACTGCTTGGCACTCAAGAGCTCCTGTTGGAGAGCCTCCATCTAGTCCTGTGTTTCTTTTCTCACAACTGGGCCAAGAGAGGGAACTCAGCAAGTTATGGACTGGCTCCCAGCACATCCACCTGGAAGTGGAACACTTCACTTCTCATGGACCACTGGCCAAAGCAAGTCACATGGCCAAGTCTAACTCAAGATGTGTCATGCTGCCGAGTGTCCCAGAGGGCTCTCTAAGAGAACTTGCGGGACACTAGTGACTGAGAGTCCCCCCTCCTTTCACCCAATGTTAGGGCACTCTCCTCCTTTGGGTACAGTTTCTTCACTTTTTCCTCAAGGGAGTCAGCCATAGAGACCCTCCCTACCTCAGCATGAAGCGCACTTTCTAGGTGCTGTGTGGCAGAGTCTATATCAGGTCCAGATGCGTTGTCTTTTCCTCTGCAGAAAGTTACATACCCTGCATAGCCCTCTGTGTGTGCGGTGGGGCACAGATAGCAACCCCTGTGGAAAGGGAAGGCTACAGTAGATGCTGGCCCCTTGAGAAGACATTTTGAGGACCTCCCCCATTCATTTCCTCCAGTAGACCCCGGTTCTGCCCCCTGAGGTTTAATGCCCCATCTGTTGTTTTCCACTGGATTTGCTTCTCAGAGAGTCTTCCTTTTCTATATTACAGTGGGCCTCAGGAGATACGCTTTTAAACAAGGTAGAAATGTGGGAGATGCAGAATGAGGTTAAGTCCTGGAGACAGTTTCCTGTAGTCCAAGCTGATGTTTGGGCAGTATAATTCTTACAGCAATACAGACATCTTTTCTGTTTGGTACCAGGTGCCCCATGTTGCTGTAGCCACAGTTCTTCCCTAGATATGCCTCAGTGTTCTGCCATGGTTCTTTTTCTTGCTGCTTTCATGACTCTCTTGCTCTCAGCTGGGTTGTGAGTGGTTTAGGCCTACTGGGTGTCAGTAGGACACTCACGCCCTCCTTCCCTTTTCCAGAGCATTTTCCTGCAATTGAAAGCATATGCTAGGTAACATCTTAATTTGTCCAGAAGTTTTAATAATAGATTCGTATCCCTTGAGTTGATCCTATGTCAAGGCTGATTTTTTTCAAGGCCCTTTCTTGTAGAAAATGTCTTAATTTTTGTATTTTGAGAAACAGTTGCTTTTTCTAACCCCACAAATCTCTGCAATTGTATGTTGTCTGTATATACCATTCCTGCCTACAATGTGCTTGAAACTTTTCTGAGCTCATCTGCTGTTTGTAATGGCTTCCCAAATACATCCAGCTGCCACCAGCACATGCTGCTAACATTCTGTTTTATACTGTCCTGCTTTAATTCTGTAGGTTTACATGCTGCCTTCTAAATTTTCACAGGTGATATGTTCACCAAATACATCCTCATCCTGTCAGTTTCTGATAGTGTTCTTAGCTATTGTCCTCTAACTGAACATTGTATTTATTGTTGTTACATTGCCCCCTGTTTGTATCAGTAAGTAGAGGCTAGGTTGTGCCACTGTAACAAACATCCTAAAATCTACCAGTGCCTTAACAAATAATGAATTCTCCTCCCTCCTATTGAACCCATGGCTTTACACATGCTAGGCAAGTACTCTGCCACTGAGCTATATCCCCAGCTCTGAAACTATTCCTTGCTATGTGTTTAGAGTCTGGGCTGTGCTCAGTATATCACTCAGAAACCTATTCTGGAGAAGGTTTCTTGTTGACGTGTTTCCAATTATCCCAGTTACTTTGGTGGGGGAAAAAAGTATGATGAATTTGTGTTGGGTTTGAAAGCTCCTCCCAGAAATGATGCACATGATTCTTCTCGCAGATTATTGGCCCAGACTAGTCACGTGACCATGCCTTACTTCAAAGGTGGAAGGAAGTGCAGTCCTACTACTATGTGCCTAGAAGGTAGGGGCTAGGATGGCTGCACACTTCTGTCTGGGCCAGGTTATGCAGTGTACAGTGCACACCTCTTACAGGTGGACGGCCAGGGAGTCAAACCTTGCTCATACTATGTGTCCATCACAAGTTGGCTACGTCTCTGCCTCTCCCTCTGCCCCTATGCCCAGGGACCCTGGCTGACTGGGGACCCTCTTTCTAAAACAGGGCTAACTGTCGTGGCAGAGAGGAAAGAGTATGGCTCCTAAAGCTGCTGCCGAGAGCAGTTAACATGGCCAAGCCTGATGTCAGTGGGAGGGACAGCAAGTATTTGTGAATAGTAATGCAGTCTACCACACCCTGCACTCCACATTCCCTCCATTCCTCTGCATCTCAGCCACTCCAGACATGTTTCTTTTCTCTAACATTTTTCCTTCTTTCGGTTTACTTTTATTTATCCTCAGTCAAACTAGAATTGGCAAACTCCTATTCACCCTTCAAGGCCCAGCTCGAATAATTTGCTCTGAGGATTTTCCTCATCTCCTACCTCATCCTCAAATAGTTATGATTTTCATTGGCTCTCTTCTTCATATACCTGAAGGAAAGAATGTCTACCACATGACCTGTACCTGTCTTCTTAAATCCTAGATTTCAAGCCCAGAAACTGTCATTCTTACTTTGTTTCTCCAGTGTTTAATAAGGTGGCTGGCACGGGTGAAGACAGAAGGTGCTTGATGAATGTTGTTGATGACTTTTTTTCTAGAGTGGAATTAAGGGAGTGTTTCCATAGTCAAGTAGCAAA